GAGTTCGGAGAAAGGGGGCAGTTGGGTGCGTGCCCACAGGAATGTAGGTGTCCACACACACCAGCACAGAGCTTGGTGCCTGGAGGAGGCTCCTTGCTTGAGGGAAGGGGGATGTTTGGGCAGCCCTGACATGCAGCATCATGGGAGGTATCCTGCCCTACTTGCTGGGAGCCCAGCCTTCTCTGCTTGCAAACCAAACGTGCTTGTGATTCTGCTGGTGTGCTCACAAATTGTCACCCTTACCATACTGGGTGCCTCAGGAAAGATGGGAGGGAGTATTGTCACCTACTTCATTGAAGTAGAAGAGTCATGTACAAAGAAGATGGGGAAATCATGACAAGATTTTCACAGGTGTTAATTCTGAGTAGGAAAAAAATGGCATTTGGTAGGAAAACGGGGTGTTGTGTATCTTTGCCAATATATTATAGCTGCCCCTAAGCAATTTTTTTTCAAAAGGAAAGTACTTCTGGAAAGAAAGTACATTGGAAAACCCTAAAAGAAGCTTCTCAGATTTTAGGAACTTAGTGGAAAGACCCAGAAAGCAGAACGTGTCTCCACACTGCGGCCTTTGGCACGTCTCCTTTCAGACGAGCTGGACCCAGAGCCTTCGAGGTCCCTGTAGCCCTGACACGCTGCGTCCACAACAACAGGCTTGAAGCTGACGCCAGGATGACAGCTCCGGCTGCACCTCGAACACCCGCCCTGTCCCGGTGATGCTAGATGGGGGGGTGAGAATACAGAAAGGTGACACCTCTCTTCTGGGAAGCCTGCTGCCAAACCTGCAAGGCGCAGAACAGACGCTGACAAACAGGATTCATCCCAACTCTGCGGTTCTCTCGGCTTTAAGCACTGGCAAAAGTGGACAACCTTGACATTGCCCTTCCTCCCGCCACCCGATTCTCTCACAATTGTTTTCCCGGTCCTCACCCTCTTGGTCAAACTTCACGTTTGTAATGGGCCTGCTCTCAGTCATTTAGACCTGAATTTCAGTGTCTTTTTCTTTTTTTTTTAATTTTACCTGAATCGAGGCAAGAAAAGACAACCATTGTTCCGCGTTAAAAAAGCGTCATACATCCTTGAACACAAGTGGGAGGCTGGTATTGTTTTGGAGACCAGATGCTGTTGACAAAGGGAAGGAAAGCTATGTACCTGTCTTCTGGTAATGGTCCACCTAATCTAACAATTATTTTCATGTAGCGTGACACTTTAGCATTACCCTCTCATCCAAAGAATCTGTTTCTCTCCAGCTTCAGCTACTCTTTTACTGAGAAACAGAGAAGTTGAGCAATTTGTCCAGGTTCGCACAGGCTAAGACATGGCAGAGCTCTGGTTAGAGCTTGGACCCCAAGGCTCTAGAGTATAGGGGAGTTAGGAAGACAGAAATTGTGGACAGGGGTTCTGAGTCCCGGCTCCAGGCTGAAACCACGGGGCAGGTGTGAGGTGATGGGGGCAAAGGGCCCAGAACTCCAGACACACAGAGACAGAGACAGGAAAGCAGCCAAGGGATTATTCCTATCAGGTAGTGGCCTCACAGTTATTCCTGTACCCACATGAGTGGCCACAGGATAAAAAAGACCTTGCCTTCTAGTCTCCCCAAGGTGCCTTTGTGGTGTGGAAAAGGTGACATTCCAGCATGACTCCCACGGAAGAGCCCGAGGCCTGCTGACAGCCACTGTGGTAAGGTAGGGTAGCCCACAGTCCTGGCTACAGGGAGATAGCCCACCCCCAGAGAAAGGACAGTGGGAGGATGCACAGCATTGGTGAGAACCCAGGGGACCAGTGAGGGCAGAGGTAGAAGGAACACTGCCTGCATTTACCAGTCTTATTCCAGTAGCAAGAGGCAGTGAGCTGGAGGCTTATGAGGAAGTTCGGGTTAATTGTAAAAAATAGAGGGAGCTATTGGTTTCTTGTACAATTTGGGGGCGGCAGGTAAGCTAAATAGCAACGTGGGTTATTTTCGACTACTTGTGAGCTCTCACGGAACCAACATTAGGAAAAAAACCTCAGCTTTGGAGTCAGGCCGAGCTGGTTCCAGATGAGAAGTTGCCATGAGTGTTTTTGTGAGGGGAAAGAAAACCTCACTTTCCCTTGTTGCAAGATGAAAATTCAGTGCCTGCCTCCCTGGGGTTGGTGGGTGGGAGGATTAAATAAGACAGCTGAGGATCACAACAGTGTCTGGCTCTTTCCTCTATTGTAAACTGATCTGCAATTTGCTAAGCAAATAAAGGAGGGAGAGTCATTTCTGATCAATTACAGGATTCATAAAACACGTTTGGAAAAAAAGTGTGGCAACCAAGAGTAAAGTGTGGGACACAGGCCAAAAATGTTCTACCTGTAAAGGGTGGGGACGCTTCAGGCATTTTCCTAATTGACCTTAGAAATCACGAATTTGACTTCAAAATTTTTTCTTCCTTGTAAATTTCCCTGAGTGTCGGATGTGTCTCTGGAGACTTCTCAGGAAGGCTTCCAAGTGTTTCAAAATCATCTTTAGATAATTTATTCAAAGCCTCAAATATAATTTTTTGTACCCAAACTGCATATGCTTAAAACTAACAGGTGTTCCTGTTAAAATGCTTCTCATTTTCACTTCTCACAACCCAACATGAGATTTCAAATATTCTAAAGAGCCAGAGGTGTTTCTTCCTTTTTTAAAGTAAGAAGTTGACAACTATCCTTGAAATGTTAAAAAAAAAAAAAAAAAAAAAAAAAGCAGCTGAAAATTTGCGTACAGTGATGGTCTCTGGGGAGTGGGGTTTTGGGGGAAACTGATACTTTATACCCGGTGTTATCTAAACTAGTGCGGGCATAGATTGCTTCGGCAATTTTTCATAAGCATTCAAAAATCAGGGTGGAATTCTGACATCTGAATCTATTCTTCCCGTTTAAACAAATGTTCCCAGGAATAGCTGCAAATCTCTGAATCCTATGTGTGAGTGGCTAAGGAACAGAGCCCTGGAGACAGCCAGTTTTGCTGGCCCTTAGCTGTGTGGTAGGTACCCTTACAGCTCTGATCTGTGGTGAGAAAAAAGCTGTGTTGAGAACCTAACGTCTTTCTCTGACTCCGCGGCCGAGTGGCAGAGGGTCCTGAGAAATCCAAACAAACCTCCCTCTTCACTAACCTGAGAGTCTAATTTCTGCACCACTGCTAAGCAGTTAGAGTTCAGATTTGGCCCAATCCCTGTCCCCTTTGGCAGATAGGTTGCTCTTTGCTCCTCTGATGACACTTTGCCAAAAGCAAACAGGAACCATGCCAATGCAAAAACTACCTATTACAACAGGTAACAGGTGAGTGGTAGCCAAACGTAAGCTGTTGACCAACTTGGTGGTGACCCCCCAAATGACCTCACATAAAAATAAAACAGTGGCATTAGTCCTTGATGTAGACCATGGATACAATCCTAATTACAGGAAGCATTGTTGGGAAACCGCTGACTTTATGGACCTGTACCATGCCCTTTGAGAACAGTGTGCTGGCTGTCAAATGCAGGCTGAGGACAAGTCCCACCCTCTTCCTGGCCCTTTCCAAAAGTGGCTGCTCCAAAGGCTCTCCTAAGGCACCTGGAGTTGTCCCTGGTAGGCTCCCCGGGGTCTCCCTGACCATACCCTCTGCTATGGCCACTGCATGCTCAGCACAGCCTTCAGGATTCAGAGCACAGCTTGGAAAGGGAATCAGGCAGGGGCTGGGCAGGTGCCTAACATGATATGACATGTGGTTCTTAAGCCCAGCAGCCCAACCAGTTTCTTTGTGTGGATGTGAATGCATAAAAGCTGACTTTAAAAAGATATCCCCAACTACAGATTTGCTCACCAAACTGTCCCAACACATGGTCTAAATTGTATCTCTAATCTCTAGCAAGAGAGGAGGGCCAGTGGAGCGCAACTGTTAGCCAGTCTCGGGCAGCAGGGAATGTCTCGATTGGCTGCCAGGAACCAGCAAGATCCTGGGGGAGCTGAACCAGACACTGGCATCTTCCCATGTGCCCTTCAAAGCTGGAAACCAGATAGCCAGTTGGCTAGAAGGGCACACTCATTAAGGCAAAGGACAGATGGCCATGATACCACAAGGGCAAACACAAATTCTGAGTATCTGCATGGCTTGCCTCCACCAACAGAAGCTCCCTGAGGTCAGGCCCAGCGTCTTCCATGTCTCCCGGGCCAAGTGCATGGCCTAGCCCACAGAATACATTCGGTGAATAGGTGACAAGCAGCCTTCTGCACCCACTGGCAGACTCTTCCCTATGGCCACCCTTGTAAGATGTTTGCTTCTCCACACATTTGCTCAGGCTGATATTCTACCTGAAGTGCCCTTTCACTTCATCATAAACATCCATCAGGGTCCAGCTGCAGCCCCACCCCCTTAACAGCTATATCGATATCCACCACGTTGCACATGGCCTCTCACACATGCCCTCGTTCATGCTTGTACCCATTTCACAGATGGGAAGCAGACTCAGAAGCATTCAGTGGCAAGTTCCAGGGTCACACTGCTGATAAATCCTGTGCAAAGCAAGAGCTCAAACCCACGTCATCTGATTCCAGGCTCTCTGCTCCCTACATTTCACCAATTGCTTAGAAGTCCTCCCTGAGGTTTGCAAAGAGTTTTATGGTCCTCCTTCCCCATCTTAGGAATGAACAGGAAGATCTGTGTGTGATGGAATTATTACTGACACTAAAAGTTAACGTTCAACACTGGGAAGTGGCCCTTCCCTGGCAGGGGTTTGCCACTCTGACCACTGAAGCCAGCTCTGGGAGCTCCCGTGGCCGGGCATTTATAGCTCTGTGTGTTACAGTTCACTAAATACTCTCAACTTCTTGAAAAGCTGGTTTTTTCCTCTTGGGAGCGGCTGACTCTACCCTTTATGAGAATTGCAAGCCTGCTGGTGCCCTGCCCATTGGGAAACACCTCACTCTGTCACTCTATAAATGTCTGAGGTGGCCCCAAGGGAGGACTTGTGCGGCACCGCTGTCTCCCCAGGACGTGAAGTTCCCACCACCCCACCATGAGGTTTCTAGCCCTCTCCAGATTGCTCTGCATCTTGCTCCTCTGCTTCTCCATCTTCTCCGTGGAAGGTAGGGCTGTCCCCCCAAAGTGCTGGTTCCCAAGCAGGGAATGCAGGGCCTGGGAAGGTTGGAATCAGAAAATATTGGAGGGCAGGTCCCCAGCAGGCAGTCCTGGGCCTGGGAAGACAGGCTCTCACTCCTGAATCTGTAGCACCTCTGTATACAGTGGCGGCACCAAGGGGTGGCCTGGGAACTTTAGACCCCACGATCTCCATCCGTAGCTCCAGTTCCCCCACACCCACACACCAGCTATGTGAAGGTGATGTTTACCATGCAAACATGCAACCTCCTGGCAAGATTCTTGCACCTAAATCCTACCTAGCTAGAAATTCTAGAGCCACTCTCTTGTACTCGTATCATGCCGGTAGTACGGTGAATTTTGTGGAGACTGTGTGAGTCTGAGCATCCCAGCAAACAGCCGCAACAGATGAGATGAGTACGGTGTGGTGGTGGTTGGGGGGGGGGGGTGAAGGCTTGTTTGTATGTGTTTAGAAGTGGGAGAGATGTTCCCTGTACCTTGGTGGATATGAATATTTAGCACTCCTGCCTTTGTTTCATTCAGGTTAGCTATTTTGAGCTTTTTCTCTTGCCTAACTCTCTAGACACTGCCTACTTTTATTATTTTTTAAGGCAATTATGGTTAAGAGACTCTTAAATACTGAGAACAAACTGAGGGTTGATGGGGGGGTGGGGAAGAGGGGAGGGTGGGTGATGGGAATTGAGGAGGGCACCCCTTGGGATGAGCACGGGGTGTTGTATGGAAACCAATTTGACAATAAATTATATGTTAAAAAAAATAAAAAAGTACCATCCCTATAAAAAAAAGCAATTATGGTTATTTTAACATTTATTGGATTTGGGAGCATAGACAAATAAATAGATAGGGTTGAAAAACCCCCATATCTTCGTGACTCAGGAATATAGCCATGTTTAACATTTTATTTCTTTTCAATATTGCAGACAAGCATTTTTGGTAATTGATATATCTCTATATGTTAAACATTGTATCTTTTTAAAATCACTATATTATTATATAATCACCAAAAATACTTACTATTAAAATTATTCTGGAAGCATTTACACCAAAATGTCAACAGTCATCATCTCTGAGCGGTAGGATGATAGGAAGTATTTGTTTTCTGAACTTTCTGCAGTGAACATTGCTGCATATGTAATACAGAAAACAGTGATTAGAATTCCTCATAAACACAGTCCAAAGCAACGCAGTTTATCAGACCTTTATTTGGGGGCATGCTAGACGTTGCCACTGTTACCTTAATGACAATTCAATGAATATGAATACCTTTCCCCATAAAGTTTCTAAAACATTTAGGAGTATTTCTGGCATATTCTCCAAATAGTATTATTTAAGTAATATTTTTAGGTATAACTTGCCATCAAGTGTGCTATGATGAATTTCATGCTTCGACATGTAGATGGTTCATAATTTTGCACTATTTTAAGTATGTGGTAAGAGCATATGTGTATGTAAAACATTCCTTGTATTTAAGATTATTTTCTTAGGCTAGATTGCCAAAGGGAGAATATCAGGTCAAAGGGCATAGATACTTTGAGTGAGGATGCTGTGTTTTGGACAGGGACATGAGGAAGAGAGTATCTGCCCACAATGACTTTGTTATTTCTGAAAAATAAATCACCTCCAGGCCCCCCCCTTTCCCCAGGCCCTCCCACAGCCTGGCTCTTCCTGAGTTTCCTTCAATAAATATCCCTGACCTTTGTACCTTGGGAGCGGAGGCTGACTCAAGTCATTTGTACACAGATCCAACCTCATGGTGTCCCCAACACACTAAGGAAGGGCCTCTGCCCCTCTGTGTCTACCCTCAGGGAGAAGGCATTCTAGGCATCTTGCCAAGCCCCGGAAAGGCAAGCTTTGCTGTTCCCGAGTTCCTAGTCCTGTCCCGACGGCCCAGAAAGGTAAGCACCCTGTCCAGATGGTAAGAGGCTCTGGGGAGGCCATGGGACAGGCCATATATGTGGATCAGCCCTCACCTGTGCCTGGCACAGAGGGGCCACAGCAGATGTGATCTTGGCCTCATGGAGCTTCCGCTCTAGTGTGGAAAAATGAAAAATTAATCATTTTGAACTGAATACGTTCTGTCAAGAGAAGAACAACATGCAATTAGAAAACGGTACTGGGAACACCCCCGGCCTGGGTGGGAGGCATCAGAGGAGGCCGCATTTGAGACCTGAAGAACGGCAGGGAGACAGAGGGGAGGGTTCAGGCAGGGGAAGCAGCAGGCATGGAGGCCTGAGATGGGCAGGAGGGAGCCACGGAAGACAGAGAGGCTGGTGAATTGCAAGGTGTTCATGGAAGCTACTACCCAAGGTAGGGCTGGCCTCGTGAGCTGCCACATGAGGAAAGGTGACCAGTGGGTGGATGGGACTCCCAGGCTCAGAACGTCCCAGAGATGAGGGCAGGCAGCATGCGTCCCAGGAACCAGGCTGGAGGTGCAGAGCCAGGGTGAGGCCTGGAGGAGCAAGACTGCCCTCTCCCACGAGGCCCCCGGGGGCCCTTCCTGGTGAGGGAGACAGCCCCGAAGGAGGCTGCAGGTACCCAGCTCCCAGCACCGGCCCAGGCTGAGGGCCAGCTGGTGCATGGTAGTGGCCTGGGTGTGAAGTTAGCACTAGAAGACTTCTGCTGGCCTTGGGTAGGAGGGCCCCACAGCCTGGTGCATGCAGCCCCCCAGGGAAAGCTGCAGAGCCTAGAGCCAGCCAGGCCTGACACTAATCCAAGGCTCCTGCCCCCGATTCTCCACAGCTAAGGTCTGAGAAGGCCCCAGTCCTGCTGGCACCTCTGGGACCATGGCCCAGGGAGCCCATGACCAGAGCCAGGTCCTCCCACCCATCCCCCAATCCCACCAACTACCAAGAGTCCTGTGCACAAAGCAGGAGCTTGGGTATGAAGGACAGGGAGAGAGAGAGAGACAGCACTCCTTAGCCTCTGGCCACCTCTCCAGAGAGGCTGACAGCCCCTCCCTCCAGACTGGCATCACATCCAGCTGCGGTAAAAATAACCCATTCTCACACCCTGCACCCAAGTGTGAAGCACCCGCCCAGGAAAGGTGAGAGGAAGTGCACTGACAGGCTGACTGCAGCTCTGCTCTCCTCTGAGGCCCCAGCCTGGTGAAGGAGGAGGAGTGTTTCCATGAAAGAAATAAGGCAAAGCCGAGGGAAGGGAGAGGTAAGAGTCCCTCCCTACTGAGTGAGTCCATCCCCAAACCCTTCCCCAGGATGGATGCACTCACAGGAAGTAAAACAACGTTAGGGATGTGCATGCACATACACACACATGCACACACGCACACACAGATCCTAGGAAACACAGCCAGTTAACTCCTTGTGCCCAGTACAGGGCAGCTGTTTTGTTACTCACTCAACACTTTAGAATAATCGAGGTGCACGGATTCCATGTTGACTCTGGATTTCTTTCAGTGTATGTACATATTTTTAATTCCATTGCAGAAAATTGCAAACAACTTAGAACAAAAAGAGAAAAACAAACCTTTTTATCGGGTCCTTATTGTACAATCTCATTTAAATCTTTGGAACCACATCAGGGAAGCATTGTCACCATTTTACAGTTTGGGAAACCGAGGCTCAGAAAGAATCTGAGGCAGAGCCAGGAGCCGGATGTGTCTACCTCTTTCCACTACAACAAACTGGCTCCTCCATAGAGAGCAGGTCCCGCAGCATGCTTGTGAAGACACTCGCATTCCCAAGACCTCAGACTTCCCCAAAGCAAAGCGCCATCTGGGTTGGAATCCCAGCTCCACCACCTGCTAGCTGTGTGCCCTTGAGCAGGTCGCCCAGCTCTGCTAAGCCTCAATCTCCTCACCTGTGAAGGGGTACAATCCCAGACTCTACCTTGCCAGGCTACGGTAAGAAGACAGTGAAGTCATGACTATAGCCAGGCATTACCTCCATAAACATGCCTGCTGGGGAAGTCAGAGCCCTGCCAGGGCGCCTGAAGCGGGAGGCCAGAAATTTCAACACTGAAAACCAAGGCCCGTGCCTTCTTGCCCGGGCTTGGTGGTTCCACCCACCATTTTCTGGGCCTGATCCTGGGGCCGGGTCATCAACAACAGAGCTGCTGAGCATGCCAAACTCTGGGAATGTGGCCTCTGTCCTCTGGCCCCCTGGTGTATAAGAGTGTCTGCCTACCTGTCCAAAGAGAAAATAACCAAGGGTGCCTGGAGGATGTCCCTGGGCTGACAATACCAGTTAGACATACACATGCCAGCGTGGGACTCTTCAATGTAAAGTGTCTTTCCTGAGCCTTGGTTCACACATAAGTGCAGTGCCAGGCCCGTGGGGATGACAGGACGTGGCAGGCACAGGATCTTGGGTCGGTTCGACAAAACCATCTCCAAAAGTCAGTGGGCTGAATTTACCACGTTTACCGATTTGCTAAACAAAGCTTTCTCCAAAGTATTTGAAAAGTTTGTGTCAATCTGTGTAGCAGCGTGTCATAGCAACATTGTTTTCGTGGAGTGTTCAGTTTGTTAACTCTTAGTGCTGGACAGGCATCAAGCTTAGGCGGGGGGCAGAATGACAGACCCCACCTAGGACCTCTGTCAGGCCATCCTCCTTCCAGGTGTCCTGAGGTTGTTGGTGAGGAAGCTCCTGGGCAAGACTGGGGAGGTCTTGTTTGAAGACCCCTGGAGCCTGAGAGTGTGCCTGCCCCTCCCACAGACTGCCTGGGACCTGAGAGCTCTGTTCCACCCTCCCTGTTTTGAAGACAAGCAAAATTACTTGACCCACAGTGGGAGATGGGGGAGAAGGGGCCCAGAGAGATTCCTCCCCCACCAGGGGGTTATCCTTGTCTTCAGAAAGGGGAACAGACTACCCATTGAGGACCACCAGCGTGATTACTTGAGGGTTTTGGCAACTTTGCATGACACCTGGGTTGACACAAGAGCCAGTACAATGGACCCTGGAAGGGAAGAGGTGAAGAGGGTGCCCCACCCATCCTATCCAGTGGACCAATCAGAGGGTCTCATATCTGTAGCCTTTCTCCTCCGGGGGTTATATCCATTAGCCGTAGCTGCGTAACTAAACACTCCCAACTTCAGTGGCCCAAACTACATGTATTCTCATTTTCCATGAATCTGCAGGTCAGCTGAACAGGCTCATTTATTCTTCCAAGGGTTGGATACACCATTCTGCTGACCTTGGCTGGGCTCTCTCACATGTTTGGGGGCCAGTGGTCTGTAAGTCTTGGAGGGTCTCAGTTAGGCAACTGGACCTTCTTCCACATGGTCTCTCATCCTCCAACAGGCCAGCCCAAACTTCTCCACAGAAGCTGCAGGTTTCCACCTATGTGAGTGAAAGCACCTAAGCACCTCAGAACTGGCCCACCTTTACCTCCGCTGCATTCAGCTGGCCAAAGGAAGTCACCGGGGCAGCTCAGATTGAAGGAAAGGAGAAGCAGACCCCATATTTTGGTGGGAGGAGCTACAAAGTCACATTGCAAAAACAGGGTGGAGAATTGTGACTATGTGTGCAATAAGTCAACCACAGTATTTATTGTAGGAGCCAGAGAAGAGAGTCCTGGGGATCTGAGGAGGGTGGACAGAAGTTGCAAGCAGTGTTCAGGAAACCATGGTCCCCCATCAGAAATTCTAGTGGAAAATTCTCATGACATTATATTAACAGAAAAAAGTACTTTACGCTGTACCATGATAGTACCATGACTATCACTGTTGGAAGATGAAAGCACTTTCAAATAGGAAGACAAAATACAAAGACAACTATACCAATGTTAGCACTTATTTATGATTGAGACATGAGGCTATGGATAAATTATAATTAAATTTATTTTTATAGCCGGTGGTTATATAGCAATTATTGTCTAACACTTACATCTGCTAACTCATTTAATCCTCACAATCTTAAGAGTTGGATAACATTACTACCCCCATTTTTACAGATGAGGAGCCAAAGCACAGAGAGGTTAAGTAACTTGTTGAAAGGCACACAGTTAGTAAGTAAGTGGTAGAGCTGGGGCTTCGAATCCAAATACTCTGGCTCCAGATTCTATGTTCTTTTTTTATTTCATTTTATTTTTTTAATGCTTATTTATTTCTGAGAGAGAAAGACAGAGTACGAGTGGGAGAGGGGCAGAGAGAGAGAGAGAGAGAGAGAGGGATACACAGAATCGGAAGCAGGATCCAGGGGATCCAGTGCTGACAGCACAGAGCGGGACTTGAACCCACGAACCGTGAGATCGTGACCTGAGCCAGTTGGACACTTATCCAACTGAGCCAGCCAGGCGCCCCCAGATTCTATGTTCTTAACTATCATACCACATTGCATATAGTAATAATCTGGAAACAGAAGGGGGGAGAAAAAAGAATAGTCTCATCACAACAATTTAGTAATCTTCACATTCATTTGTGTTTCTTTTATTTTTTTTTCAAGCAACCATGTTCATCCAGTTTTATTTTTATTGTACCTCATTTTCTTACTTTTAAAATTAATGTTACATTGTGAGTATTTTTTTTTCCTCTTGCTACAGTCTTCATAATCACAGAATTTTCTCACGTTAAACATTTCCATCATGATGAGATACCATAACATAACATACCTAACTTACCATTTCTCTACCATAGAATATTCAGATTGTTTCCAGAAATTGTTTTTCTGGTATTCAAAACAAAACTATGAAGAACAGTTTAATGCATGCCAGTTCTTTTTTCTTGTGGATTATTCCTCCCATAAGTGGGACTGGTTTGTCAAGATGCAAACATAGCTTTGAGACACATATTGCCTGCAACTCGCAGTCCAGAAGGAAATAGCCCGAGGAGTCTGAGGGCCTGCAAGTGACGTGGGCAGACCCTCCTACTGTGGCCATCAGAAACCAGACCCTTCAACTTTAGTGGACTCTTGTTGACAAAGCCAGTTTGGCACATAAGCCTCCTTCTCTCCATCTGATGCCAGTAAATCAGATTCCTCCCTGACAGGACTGAAATAACCTGAGCTGGTCATGTTTGCCATGAAAGCCCTTCCTTCTGGGTCTCCAGGAAGGAGATAAGATCTGATTCTTGCCTTGATTTTTAAAAACACTTTGAGCCTGGAAATGAACGTTAATTGTGTTCTCCCCTTTCTCCTCCCCCACTCTGCCTGGCTCTTGTCTTGTCTTACCTGCCCATTGCTCCTTCCCAGGGCGCCATGTGAGGATCTGCAGACAGTGCAAAGTCAAGCCGGGGTCCCGCACTTGGGTAGTACCTGGGGCTCTCCCGCAAGTGTAATGCTGCCCAAACAAGTCTGCACACAGGTTGAGACCCTCATGCCCAGTGCCTGAGGCACCCAGAAGTCTCAGGTTCTCTCAGGATGCTCCTCTTGAAGCTGGGGCTGAGGGCAGAGATGCCAAGAGCCTTGGCCCATGGAAGCTTCTGCCCATGAACCATAAGCCTCTTCTCTTAAAGACACAACATTTCTTCCCTGCTATGTTGGAATGTGCTCACGCTGCCTTTTAGAAAAGCCTGAACCAGAATTTTCTGAAAACCACAACCTGGATACAAAGGTCAAAACGCTGGAATGCCTGTCTTGCTGTGTGGCCTTGGACAAGAAACTTAGCCTCTCTGGGTGCATGTTGGCTTCAGAGATGTAAAGTTCAGAGACCGAAAAACCCTCTAAGGAAGACCATCAGTCACTGGCACCAATGGGTTTCACTATGCTTTTCAACCTTCCCGGCAGTGAGCTGGGATGTTGTGGGGCTTCACCTTGGTCAGCAAGGGCCCTGAGAAAGTTCCGGAATTCTAGATGCTAGTCCCACTCATGCCCCCCACTTTCCGAGTTATTCAGGCTCAGCCCACCTGGTCTCAGTCCCCTCCTGGCCTCTACAGTGTTGACAGTCAAGATTCCACTGTGACTTTTGACAGCTACAAACTCAGACAATTCTGATCCTGCTAGGGAGCAGGTAACAGGTCCCCAAGAGCAGTGACCAAGACTGCATCCTGAGGTACACACAGCCCTTAACTGTCCCACATCCGATGGCCTCTAAAGGAACCCCTTCCTAACTTCCTGATGTGAATCTGCTGGAAAGAACACTGAAACAAAACAAACAAAAAACGCCAAATAATAAATAAATAAATAAATAAATAAATAAATAAATACACAAAATGCACATGCAACATCCATGTTTAAGAAAGTCAGTGATTGGGAGGCACCTGGGTGGCTCAGTCGGTTAAGCGTCTGACTTGGGCTCAGGTCAGGGTCTCAATGTTTGTGAGCTGGAGCCCCGCATTGAGCTCTCTGCTATCAGCACCGGGGCCTGCTTCGGATCTTCTGTCTCCCTCTCTTCTGCCCCTATCCCTCTCTCTCTTTCTCTCTCTCAAAAATAAATAAACATTTAAAGCAGCAAAAATGACAAAAAGGAAAGTCAGTGATTGGTGTCCCCGGGTGGCTCAGTTGGTTAAGCATCCGACTCTTGGTTTCAGCTCGTATCATGATCTCACGGTTCATGAGATTGAGCCCAGAATCAGGCTCTGCTCTGTCAGTGTGCAGCCTGCTTGGGATTCTCTCTCTCCCTCTCTCTCTCTCTCTCTGCCCCTCCCCTGCTCACATGCACTCTCTTTCTCAAAATAAATAAATAAACGTTAAAGAAAAAAAAAAAGAAGTCAGTGATTGGGCCTGAGCCTTCTGCTAGAGGAAACCCATGCCCCAAAGCCTCTCCTGAAGGCCACTCCTTCATCATGAGAAAATCTAACTAGAGAAGGGGAGTGAGGACTACTGACAATAACAACGTTCTTGGTCTGACACACCAGGACTCAAATCCCAGGCCCACCCAGAATTGTGTGACCTGGGCAAGTCGGTTCCCTTTTCTGTAAAATGGAGACCCCAGCACCCATCCAGAGGACTGAAAGGGCACAGTGGGTGATGGAAAGTACCCACAGAGGGCATGGCACACAGAGGAAAATGGTTCAGGGAAGTCCCTGCCTTCCCTGCCCTCGCTGGGGGCTCTGCTTCTACCCACAATGAGCCGGGGTTGTGACTCAGAAGGAACAGATGGCCAGGTCTAAGAGGCTCATCTCTCTGGTAAAGCTCCCTTCTAATCTGATTCTCCCAGGAAGGTGAGAAGCCCTCCCCATGCCACCCCACAGTCTGTGTCTGAAAGCGCCAGGCCCACAGCTTTGAGGATCGATGGGTGGAAGTTCTCTGGCACAGGGCTCTGGGGACAATGGTCCCAGGGCAAGCCAGAGTCCTTACCTTGTCATAGGCCAGACCTTTCAATTCCATACAGAGGCTGCATTCATGGGCTGGTCCCTTCACTCACTCACCCGTTCCCAGGGTAGGCAGTTGTCCCATCATGCCAGCTTCTGAGGCTCAGACATGAACAAATGCAGTCCTCGAGGGCTGAGAAGCACCAGGGTGTGAGCCCCGGGGCATAAACAGAGGTCCGGGCACAGGAGGAAAAAGATGAGCTGATGCTTGGGCTGAATTATGGGAGCATTCCAGCTGGAGAAGGGATATGTGTGTGAGCGTGCAAGCATATGTGTGCGTGCGTGCGTGTATGTGTGTGTGTCTGGGATGAAGAAGAGGAGCAGCAAAGGCCAGGCAGAAGACTTGAGGGTTTGAGGAGAATTCACAGCAACTGCAGGGAATGCAGGGAAGAAGGGCTATTAGGAGGAGGTGGAATGAGCCGGAACTAAGGCAGGGCCGACGAAGGCACAGAAGAGGAATTTGAGGGGTTTCTGAGCAGCAGTGGTGTGGCCTTATAGACTCGGTAGCTGGGGCTATGGAGACAAGTCCACGGTGAACATTCCTGTGCTGTGTCAGACCCTCACCGGGAACACCCTTGGCGAGGTGAACCACTCAGCTACTAACACTGTGACAGCTGACTGTTCAACATCCTTGTTCCCAATCCTTCCTCTCTCCATCACCACCAAACTCCTGCCCCCTAACACACACACACACACACACACACACACACACACACACACACACACACACACACAATGTAAAGAAAACACTGACATATAACTAAACACATGTACTTGAAAGTCAACAGGAAAAACAATTCAGAGGCCATGTGTCTGGCCACTGAACCAAGTCTAGCCTTCTGCTCAGGAAAGCACAAACCCCAGGAGCCTCAGCTTCTTTTTCAGGTAGGAAAGACCAGTCACTTAATGTACACAATTAAAAGGACACAGCAGAATGTTGGGGGAAAGAGGAGGCTGTCTCTGTGGGGCAGGAATGCAGTGCCCATGGCTCTGAGACACTGGCGTGCAGGAGACCAGCCTTGGGTAGGAAGGGCAGTGACCCCATGGGACCTTCCAGGGATGCCAGCCCCTCAGAGCAGCCCAGACCAAAGGTGGGAGGCACAAAAGGGAGCTGAGGACTCTGTTCCCACTCTCCCTGACTCTGGAAAGTAAGGGGAAGTAAGGGAAAGCCTGAGACTGGTTCCCAGAGATTCCTGTGCAGAGCTAGAGGCTGGCCAAAGGCCAAACTCTTTCCTTCCCACTCACCTGTGGGATGTCACCTCCAGAAGTTGCAACATGAGATTTTAAATTTGGTGGAAGAACTTCACTCTCAAAGGGTAGACTGAGCCTTCAGGGAAAGTCTGACAAATAAGGTGATTCAAGGCTACTGGGGATCCCATGAGGATTCCAAACATCCACAAGGGACTTTAATTTATAAAACTTTAATTCTTATTTTGCCCTTACTTGACTCCTTAAGAACCTAGACTGATTGACAGTTTACACTAGTGTCATTAGAGAAAGTGTGCGGTCCCCATGGCAACTAAAGGGGCTCACACTCTGACTAGGTGGGACATGTGGTATCGTTGACAGTGCACAAGCTTCCCAGATTTGGGTTCAAATGAGGGTTCTGTCATATGCCTGTTGTGTGACATTAGGGAGGTCAGGTGACCTCTCAGAGCCCCAGATTCCCCACCTGTAAAATGAGGCTGTCACAGAGGGCTGTTAGGGAGACTAAATGAGACAATGAGAAGCGCCTGGCTCTGAAATAGAAGCCAAGTGGCGGTCACAGGTCTGTTTCCAACACATTAGACGGATCCAGGTGTCTCCCCGCTCCCCAACCCCACTCAAGATTAGGTCCCCCTGGACCCATTTCATCTCCAGCTATCATCGAACCTCCAGTTGGGCACCACAAGCACTTTACAGCCTCGTGGACTCACCCATTCTGCTGATTCGTCTCTGAGCTTATTTTTGGGTAAACTGTCCAGAGTAGACCACTTTCTGGAGCCTTACAGGGCCATGCCCTAACTGGTTAGTTCACACAGGATCCCACACATGACTCCCCTGACTGGCTCCGCAGCCATTTTCCCTGCCTTGGATGCATCGTAAAACTTCTAGGGTGTGAATGTGTCCAGGGCTCTGACCTGGTCTCCCAAGCAGTGGCTGCACCTTGTCTGTTTACTAGCAGCCTTGTAACAGGCGGACAGGTCCAGAGGCAACCAGCAGACTTGTTATCAACAGCCCCATCTCTGGAAATAGTCTTTGACTCATCTGCTGTTTAATCTGTCAAACTGCACTGCCCCTCAGGATTTGCAAAGTGTGAACCAAAAGGTGGGAAGTGTCAAGTTACAAGATATCGAAACAGAAAAAAAAGTTCTCTTCCACATCAAAATGCAGCCATTTTGTTTGCTCAAATCAAGGTTTAAATATATTGTGGATGTGAACACGTATACATGTGCAGCGGTCTCCACCGCTCGCTGTTGTCTTTCACTCAGCCACTTCACACATTTCAGCCTGCTGCCTGGCTCAGCGGGCATTTCAGCTTATACCCCCGGGCTACTCCAGTCTATCAACTTAAGGATGGATGGAGTGGGGAAGCACATGTGAAGGCATGAAGAGGATTAGTTGTTGACCATGACCAGGAACCAAGACTTATGTCATCATCAGGTACCTCTTCATTCATTCATTCATTCATTCAGCTGGTCAACAACTACCCATTGAGGACCTTCTATGTGACTGGTCCTGTGTAAATACTGAAGAAACCTATGCATGAAATGGTCTCTTCCTTAAGTGGTTCACAGCACTCTGGGGGAGACACCAAAGCAGACAGATTATAGTACTAAAGTCTTTTAAGGATCCTGTCAAGGTCTCAAGTAGGGACCAATTCTGCCTGGGGGCAGGAGATGCCAGAAAAAAAAAGGAAAACATTCCGGAGGAGAAGATATTATTGCTGTGTCACCTACCTAGACTCAACCATGAGGCAGGCTGGATAGCAAGGGAGAGCACTGCAGGGTGAAAAACAGGCAACATCAGGGTTAGAGCTTCCGCCCACCTGTGTGGGTGCCGCAGTGACCAAGAAGCAGCATTGCAACCGAGGAGGTTGATTCAGTGGGAACTAGTACCAACTAGATGGGTACTGGGGAACAGGTGACAGCCCCAGACTCCTGCATAGTACCTCAGTTAGGGGGACAGGCAGGGCCTTAGACAGACAGGGGAGGAATCCCAGCTCCATGTCAGAGGAGACAGAGACAGCCACCTTACACATGGCCTGGACACAGCAAGGGGACAAGTGAAGGGGACACATTTCAGAGTAGGTGGTGTCCCGGGCTCCCCAAGCCTGCTAACCCCAGAGCCCCCTGCTGTGGGAACGGACTCCCGACTTCCAGCCAGGTGGGTCCACCCTGGCCCACAACCACAGAGGACAGTCATCAGGACCTCCCCTGGGCTGGGATAAATAGGGCCTCACAGTCATGTCCAGAGAGAGTACATTCAGGCCTACTAGGATCCCTGGGCCCTATGCCTTCATGCTCAGTACCAAATTCCACCCTGGACAAGGGCTTCCCTGTCATGAACAGTCATTGTTCTGGAATTCAGCAATAGGACCCAACAGCTCAGGATGCCCAGTAGGTGGGCAGAGGTCAGTCTGCAAGATGGTCTTATCACAGAGAGCTAGGGCAGAAGCAGAGTGCTAGGACCAGTCCTTTGCCCCTCCTACTTCAGGGTCCTTAGGAAGGTGAGCCCGAATAGCAGACAACTGCTCTTCACCACACCCTCAGCCCTGGGAGGAGCCTGGAGAGCTGCTTGCCAACCTCTCTCGGTGTAGGTGTGCATGTGCTGGGCATGTGTGTTTATACAAGGAGATGGGAAAGGATTCACACATACAGGGTATACATGCATGTATATGCAAATGGGAACAGAACTTGGTGGGTGGGGCATCCGTGTAAACACGTGTGCATGGAAACAAGGCACCATGGGTTAGCCCATTCAGGTAAATCAGATGGGGGCAAAGAGGTTACAAAAGCCTGGGTTGGTGTGCTGGCAGAGAGCTAGAACATACTTGCATGCCCAGGCAGGCAGCTAACACCTGAATCCACATTTACTGACAGCTGGACCAGCTGCTGTACATCTACCTGAGGAAACGCTGTCAGGACTTGACCTTGAGATGAAACGGATTTGGTATTTCACGGTAGGTGCCATGGTGAGGAGGCTGTAGAAGAGAGGGAGCTTGTCACCCTGCAGGGGTGATAGACATATGGAAGACAAGGTGACGTGTGTCCGGGGCTGCCCAGTGTCTGCAGGTGAGGGTCAACCCCTCTGTCTCACAGCAGGTGAGCCCTTCCCAGCTCTGATAAACTGAGCCTTTCACATAGCCTCCCATTCCTCCGTACTAAAGGTCAAGATCAGGGTCCATGGTGAGAACCTCCATGAGGAACTGTTCTTTTCCCAAGTTCTCAAATGCTTTGAGGACAAGGGCAGATCTAATGTGACCAGCTTGTCCCAGTTCATCCCAGACCTTCTTAGTTTTACCACTGAATGTCCCACATCCCTGGAAACCCCCTCAGGCCCAGGCAAACCAGGACAGCTAGTCATTCTAGCAGATCTGAGCCTGTATAACTGAAGAGGGGGGTGGCCTCTTTAAGGAAAAAAATATATATGTAAACTACAAACACAAAATTAAGGCTATGGAAGGGACATGTGAGCAAGGGGCCTGGAGCTGAAGCATCAGTAGCTTCAAGGTCATCTTCCTCTGTTACAGAATGTTTCAACTTTTTTTGGAGCCAGCCGAAACTGGATGTGACCCTAGGCCCTGTCCTTTCCTGGCTGTGTGAGGTTGGGCAAGTGACTTGCCCTCTCTGTGCTTTACTTCTTCCTTTCTAAAGCAGGGACAATCACACCAGAAGTTGTGTTGGTTACACAAGATAATATGGGTGACCACACACACACACACACACACACACAGCCACAGCATAGGAGGGGATTCCTTCACTATCCCTCTCCGGTGCAAGTCTGTTGACTGAGTGAACTGAGGAGAAAGAAGTCAAGGCACCAGAACTGCGTGATGAGGAGATAGGCAGACAGGACATGGAAAGCTGGTTTTTCTCAGCACACTGGCAAGATGTTTGCCCCAGGAAACCCTGGCTCTGCCTCCAGCACACTGGGTGATCTACAAAAAGCCCCAGTCCCCTCATCTGTATGTAGGACTTGTGGAATGGCCCACCTTGGCCTTGTCCCAGCATTTTGAGACAGAAAGATGCAGAAATACCTGTGCAATTTAAAGTGCATTTTCCAGCCAAGGGCCAAGCCTGAGGGGATTCAACAAGAGGAGTTCTGGTTAACTGGGCCTGAAAATAGCCCAATACTCTGGGACTACTGATTTATCTTCTTGTCCTGAATCCCTAACTCTTGCTACCTGTGGATCAAGGAGGTCTGGCCTTGGGGGTGGGGGATGTTCTGCTCCTGTGAAGGCCCCTGGGGAGAAATATTGAGACCCCAGCCATGGAGGCCTCTCCAGGAAGCACACAAAGGGGTCTCCTATTTCTGTAGATATACCCCTCCAAGGCCATCCTGGGGAGTGACGAAGCTTGGGCCTAACGTGACCTCCCTGTACCCCCCATGAATAGAAGGGGCACAGGCGGCTTCTCTAACTGAAGTCCAATGTCAGAGCAAGAGAATGAGGGTCCAGCCTAGGGAAATCTCCCAACAACAAGAAGGCTCCTGAGTTTCCCTGCTTTTCCTACTTATCAGCATCCAGGGCCCTCATAGCAGTGCCCTGCTTTGCCTAAATGTCTTTCAGGGATACGGGGCTCGCTACTCCTGGGGCCGTCCATACCTGTGTTGGCCAGCTGTGTTAGCAAGTCTGTCCAGGTTGGAGCTTGATTCTGTCTTCAAGCTGTTCACCCTTCCTTACAAGGCTTGAATGGGTCTGCTGTTTCTCCATGGTCACCCATGGGGACAGGGAGTGAGTCCAGCCTGCTATCTGGTAACTTCTGCCTCCCACCTTAGTGGAGACTTGTATGCCCTCCGTGCTGCTTACCACATATATGGACCCCCACTAGTGTTCACACTAGTGACCCCACCCGCTGGGACAGCTGGCCTGGCCTGGCCTGGGGGAGAGGGCAGGAAAGATTTGAGATCCCAGAGAGGTAGGGCTGATAACCCCTCCGCATCTGCCTCCCCTCCCTACCACAACCCTCCTCTTTGTTTTTCATCTCACCCCCACCCCAAGTCTTCAGGGGCACCATCCTAGGAATCCGTTTGCCCCTGGAGGGCAAACCCGCCCCCTAGTCGATACACCACCTTTTCTTCCCTGCTCCTTCCTCCTCTTGGGAGGGAACCCTCTGGTCTCAGGCTGGGCTGTTCCTTGCCCGCCGCTGTTCTACAGCCTGGAACGCTCAGGTTCAGAGAGTGGCAAACCCCCTCAAAGTCACAGTGCAAGTTCAGGAAAAGGGATAACTCCAACAGAGCCCAGGCCCTCCAGAACTTGGGGACCGCGAGAAGCCCCAGCTTCCAGTGCCGTGCTCAGGGCAAAGACCTGGCCCCTTCCCCAGCTACAGAGCTGGGGACCCCTTGGCGCCTGCGCTCCAGACCTGGGCGAGGGGGGCGTGGTAGGAAGAGGAGTTGGCAGTGACCCCTCCCGGCCCGCCGGCGGCTGGAAACCGGTACCCTGAGCTTAGCGCGCACTAATTGGTCTCTTCTGGCGGCGGCGGGAGCGCTCCAGCTGCGCGGGGCCGAGCGGTGTCATCCGCTTAGCGCCCTCGCGCCACCCAGCGCGCCCGCCCCGCGCCCCTCCCGCCGCCGCCCCCACCGTCGTCTCTGCACTCCGCGCGGCCCGGGGAATGCTCCGCGCTCCCGCGCCCGGCCCGGCTGCGGCTCGCGACACTCTCTGCCCGCGGAGACATGAGGCGCGGCCCGCGGGCCGCCCTGGCGCTGGGGCTGCTGCGCCTCTGGCTGGGTGAGTGGGCGCGGGGCCCCGCGCCCGGGGTGGGGGGCGAGGCGTGGGTACTGGCACTGCCCGGGTGGGCGCCGAGACCGAGCTCCGGGCAGCTCACTTCCACAGTGGGACTCGGGCTGGGGGACCCGGCGGGGTGGGGTGATCCTTCCAGCTGCCCGGGCTCGGCAGGTCCTCTGGAGAACGCAGACTTGGGGCCAGGACCCCCGCTGCCCTCGGCTTTTTCAGAGCAGGGTGGGAGGTTTGGCGGCTTCCCTGAAGGCTGCTGGGGCAGGGGAAGGTGTCCCAGCTCCCAGTGTGACCTTGGCCGGGGCACCGTTCCTCTCTGGGCGCGGGTTCCCCGTCTGTCCCTTGATGGGTTGAGATTGGCCGCTGCCTGCGTTCTAAGTGCCCGCGATGGTGCGCGTCCCTGACAAGCCAGAGCAAACCCTGGGCGTGAGGGAGGTGGCGGTGGCGCTCTCCGGAGCTCCCCAGCCCCAGTCTGTAGGCGTGCTGCCATTGGGGAAGAGACTACCAGCCTGCCCAGACTGGGACCAGACGTGTGACCACACTGGTGCGAACCGGCCCTTCCGTGTGTCTGTTCTCCTGTCTGTTGTCTTCCTAGCCCAGGCCAATTTTGCCCCGCACTTCTTCGACAACGGGGTGGGCAGCACCAACGGAAACATGGCCCTGTTCAGCCTCCCGGAGGACACCCCTGTAGGTGAGGAGCCCTGGCACCAGCCCCCTGTTGGTCCCCCGGAGGGTGGCCCGCGTTCCCCTGGACACAAGGACTGAACCCGTGATTCCTCTGTGCCTATGGAGACACCCAGTGCCAGGCTGTGGGCCCTCCTGGGGCACCCTGTTTGTGCTCCGAACTCCCCAGGGCAGTTGCAAGAAAGGAGGTCACGGCTGTCATGGAGACCTAAGCCAGTCCAGTCCTAGAGGCCCGGCTGCAGGTCCAGAGACAGGGCTGCCCCAGACAGCAGGCAGTAGTTGGTAGCGTGATGATAACCCCTGGGGTTGGCCACAGCACTGCCCCTGACGCACTGCGTGACCTTGAGCAAATATACTTACCTCCCCGAGCCTCAGATCTTTAGGCTTTAAAGAGGCCTAATAACATCCAACTTGCTGGGATACTCATGGGAAAGGGGGAAAAGCGGAAAGAGGAGATTCTCCCTTCTCTCTCTCTCTCTGTCAGGGCCGAGAACTCTGAGCGAAAGGATAGCAGTGTGAAAGAGGCACCTATTCAGAAATCCCCGAGGAGCTAATCCAGGCGTGGGGGCACAGTGCTGCACAGTCCTGCCTTAATGGCTTCTCCCTTTTCTCCCATTCGCCATACCCAGGGAACCCCAATCTTGGCTGCTGGCCCAGTCATCACTACCAGGCAGAGGCCCTGGAGTTAGGCACAGCAGACCTGAAGCTCCTGTGTCATCTGTATTATAGATTACAACCTGCACAGTGGCTGATACTCACCGACAGTTATGAAGAATTATCATAAAGAGTGGGAAGCAGCCAGCAGGGGTGAGGCCTGCAGCAAATGCTCACTTCAGGGCAGTACCTTTGGCACTGAATTGAATATCCACTTTATAAACAGTTGAATCCTTGGTCCTGAATAGATGCCGCTTTTAGGAAGAGTTGGGTCCCAGATTCTAGTCTCCTCTTCTGCGTCTCTTTCCAGGTTCTCATGTATACACCCTAAACGGGACAGACCCTGAGGGAGACCCCATCTCCTACCACATCAGCTTTGACCCCAGCGCTAGAAGCGTCTTTTCTGTTGACCCCAATTTTGGAAATATCACCTTGGTTGAAGAGCTGGACAGAGAGGTATGGGGAGGTGTGAGAAGTGATGCCTGCCAGGTGTGCAGACAAACCTCGGTGGGCTAGAAGGTTCCCTTGAGCTCATTCCTGGAGCGGTCTTGTAAGCCGCAGAAAACTGACAGCAGATCAGGACTGGAAAGAGTGTTTTGGTTTGGTTTGGTTTGGTTTGGTTTGGTTTTTAGTGTAAACTTTATGCCCAACGTGGGCATGACCCTGAAACCAAGAGTCGCGTGCACTACTGACTGAGCCAGCCTGGAAAGAGTGGTTTAGAGAGTGGGTCTGAGTTGGGTAAAACTCTACCCCTCCACCCCTCTGCATCTTTCTGAACCTAAAGGTGCCAGGGCATGGGTTCCCTTTCTCTTTTGAGACCCCTCACCTGGCTGGTGGCCCTAGCTGACCACATAACTGGACCTCCACCGTGGGGTTACTGCCAGCTGCGGTCCAATGGCAGACTCCACCAGCCACAGGCCAGGGTAGAGAACAGAAAGGTTGGTCTCAGAGCCTTCTGCAGGGACACAGAGGTGGAGGTATGACAGTGCACCCCTCCCTTGCATCCCTGGGGACCTAGTGACCTCAACATTCTTCCTCACTCAGGTCCCACCATGGACTCAGGAGTGCTTGAGACACTGCAGACCTGGGCTGTAGAATATGGAGAGGTGTAGGAAGATAAGGGGAAGAAAGAGAAGAAAAGGGAAACATCAGCTCCCTGGAACTTCCACCACACTAGGTTAGCATCTGTCCTCAGTCTAGCAGGGGAGCATTCTCTCTTGGTGCCTCAATAATACTGAGGGTTTAGGAGAACCCCTGATGTGCCAAGACCTGAAACAAGGTCTCAAGCATGGCCAGAGGCAGCTTTTGGCCACCCTGCCTTGCACCAGGACTCCCTTGAAATGCCCAGGTCTGCTCTGGGTGGCTCAGTGGGGGCAGGGAGAGCTCCCCCCAGCCTCAGGGTCCCCAGATACATCAGATTCCCATACACTTACTTAATCTTTATGCTTTACAGAGAGAGGATGAGATTGAAGCCATCATCAGCATTTCTGACGGCCTGAATCTGGTAGGTGCCCCCGAGCTGCCCCCCCCCCACCCCCATCAGCACTAGCACCCTGGGCTTGACCACAGTTCCCCCTCCAGTCTCCTAGGGGCTCTCTGGCAATCCCAAGCCCACAAGACAGGGCTTCACCAAGTGAGGCCAGTGAGGAGGCTTTCCCATCTGCCTCTTCCAACCAGCTCCTGCCCATTCACCCAGGATTAACACCTGGATACCCAGACTCTAGCTTCTCACTCACCTCCTTCCCCTCAGCCGTCACTTTCGCCCAGCCCTCACCAGTGCCTGCCAAGATGATCTCAGGGGTTTCTCAGCTTCCAGGCTACCTGACCCCAGTCCATGTCTGAATTTCAGCCAGAGCTATCACTGTGAAATGTTAGACCTGGCCACAGCCCCACTCGGGAAGCACTAACAGTAGGCCACTACCCTCAGGATGAAATCCAAGCCCCAGTCTCGCATGCAGGGTCTCTCCATCAGGCACTGTCTGCCTCGCCCACCTTCTCTACCACATTCACCCTCCCAACCATCTAGCCATAAATCTGCTTATATTCTCTGAACTCTTTGCCTTTGTATGTGTTGTTCCTTCTTCCTGACATACTTTTCCACCTCTTTCCCTCTCACCTGACAAACTGTTGCAGAGTTTAAATCTCACTCCTGCTGAAGTGAAGTGAAGCCTCCCTGCTGTCCCCTACCACAGGCTGAGCTAGATGCCCTCTTTTCAGGGCCTCTGGGGACACCCTCCTATACCATGCACCCACAACCCCACAAAAAGGGGGGGGGCATTTACCTAGGCCGTGGTGTACATGTTGCCTCCAGAATCACATAATGCATGGGCCCTGCCTACAGTACCTGGCATGCCACTGTTATCACCCTGAACAAGATCACCACCTTTCTTTTACATATGAATTTTGCCCTGCCATCGCATCCTGCAAAACACACACCATCAGACTGTGTCTTCTCCCTCTGGGATGGAACACAGTGCTTGGGACCACGTGGTTGCTTAATAATATTTGTTACAAGAATGAATAAAAGCAGGAAGGAAGGAGGGGAGGAAGAAGGGGAGGAAGGGAGAGAGGGGGAGGTGAAGAAGGAGAGACAACGGGCAGAGACATACACCTGGGGCATTAGAGGCCACTGTCCCTTTATTGCCCAGAAAGTCTCAACTGCCCCAGTTCCTGTCCCTTTTGTCTCTTCTCAGGTGGCAGAAAAAGTCACCATCCTGGTGACTGATGCCAATGACGAGGCCCCCAGTTTCATCCAGGAGCCCTACATTGTCCAGGTTCCTGAGGTAAGCAAGGGGCCCCAAGGCAAGGCCAATGCACTCCCACCCCAGATCCGTGGCCTGCCCTTTGGGCTGCCCTGTGACCTGACCAGGGGGATCCGGCCCCCGAGTGAAGAGCACCCATTGCTCCCTACCTTCTGGAGAACCCTTCCTCTACATGTCCCCCCACCTCTGTTGCCATCCCTCCCACATTTATTTTTATCCCAAGGAATGTCCATTAACCATTTTCCATTATAATCATAATGTACATTTATTGTCGGAATGTGAAATATGTAGAAAGGTAGAAAACAAAGTCTCAGAAATCACCCTCAATCCCTCTAGCTTAGACAACATTGTTAAATTTTGGTGTAGTTCTTCCTAGTCATTTTGTGCTTATTGGATTTATTTTGTTTGTTTTATTTACATCGCTGTGACTCTTAAACATACGCTTTCTGTATACTGTTTCTCACTTAATTTACAACATAAGCTTTTCCTCAGTAATTGTAAAGTGTAGGTAACTATCATTTTAATAGTTTCCATTTACTGCACATTCCATCGTGTACCAAAGTATTCCTTTATGTTTGGATATTTAAGATGCTTTAAAGTTTTGTTGTCATAAGAAACATCAAATTCTGAACATAAAACGTCCATATAGATAATTAGAATGATTTCCTTAAGACATGGCCCAAGATTTGAAATGCCTAGGTTGAAAGCAGGAGAACCTGGGTAGTTCTGGCTGCCAGATTGCCTTTCCAGAATGGCATGTATTTGCTCTCTCTCCCCTAGGCTGTGGGAGAGGGTTTGTCTCCCCATCCCTCACCAACACTGGGGATTCTCCAATTTTTTTAATGTTTGCTAATTCAGTAGGAGGAAGATATTTCATTTTGGCTCTAAATGATATATATATGATCCCTGGTAATGCTGAATGTCTCTATTTATTAACCATTTCCCCATTTCGTATTTAAGCCCTTTGTCTGTTTGGAGTCTTAGTTTTGGACGATGTTTGTTTGCTTCTCTTCTCCCCTTCCTTCTTTCCTGCGCTCACTTGGACTTTGGCCTGTCTTCTCCATGGGTGCTCCCTGGTTAATCATCACCTTTTCACCTCTTTTTAGCCCTTCATGCCCTAATTGCACCTTTCCATGGCTCCTTTACCCTCAGTCCCCTGAGCATTCTGTCACTGCCTCGGAACTGATCCTCCCCCCCCCCCCCCCCCCCCCCCCCCCCCCCCCCCCCCCCCCCCGTCACTGTGACCCCTCAGGACATACCTACTGGGAGCAGTATCATTAAGGTCCATGCGGTAGACAAGGACACGGGTTCTGGAGGGAGTGTCACCTACTTCTTGCAGGTAAGGAGGGGCACACTGGTCATAACCAGAGGCCTGGACTAGAGAGGGACACCTGGATGGCCACCGCCTCCCTCACCAAAGCACTTAGGTCCGGTCTCCACTATTCCCCAAAGATTGTCAGAGAAGTCACATCAGACTCACAGGGACATGAGAGGGGCCTGAGTGGGAGCCATCTTCCCCTGACTGGCCCACGCTGGGAACTCCCACTGGAACTCCCTCTGAGTTCCCCTGGCACCCTGTCCCTGGACCTCCGGGACCCTCAGCTCTCCACCCTCAACCTCTTCCCCAGGAGAGGCACTGAGCACACTGCACCCACATGGGGTGGAAGAAACCTGCCTGGGCCTAGAACTGTGGAGATCTGTCTAAGGAGGAGCAGAGCTGTGACCCCCCCCATCCCACCTCTATCCATCACCCCTCCACCCCACCAAAGGCAGAGACCCCTTCCTGAACCTCCTCCTTCTCCCTGGGTTCCACAGGAACCAGCTGCCCTCCACACAGCCGCTGCTTCTGTAACTGTTCCTCTTCTTTCCACATTTAGTCACTTGCTCTCACAATTGTCAAGGCAGTACACCTTGGTGGCTAACAACACGGGTACTTGAGAAATCCCCTGGGCTCCACATGTACTAGAGAGATCCCACTGCCTCCTCATGGGCCCTTCAGCCTGTTATCTAACCCTCTGAGCTCACTTTCCTCACGTGTAGAATTCGAAAGACGAAAGCACATCTTCGTGGATTCTTGTGAGGACTAAATACGTGCACAGCTCTGATAAATAGCCTGTGACACACAGTAACCCTTTTCCAGATTGAGGATCATCTCCTGTCCCCACCCACCTTCAACCCCCACCCCCACCCCCACCCCAAGCTTCCTGGAACTGGCCCATTGTCACTTATTTGCTGGGGTTGAAAGATCCTGAAGGCCCTCTCCGTCACGGTGGCTTCTGAGCCCCACTTCCTCTAGGTTACAGCGCTCTGCTGGCCATTTCTACCTGCTGGAACCTCCAGGCCAGAGCCTAGCTGGAAGCTGAGCAGCAAGAAGTGCTAAGGCGCTGCTGGAAGCATGCTGAGGGGCAGGAGGGGGACCCTAGGGGCCAGAAAGGCTGAGTACCCTGAGGTTAACCTCAGCCCTAAGGCCAGAGTTCCTGTGAAGAAGGCCAGTGAAGACACCCTTTCGGTAAAGCAAAACAGGCACTTCTGGGGCGGCCTGGGTCCCTCTCCGAGGACCAGCCTTCCCTTCACTCTTACAGAATATGCACGCCACCAAATTTGCCATGGACCGCCACAGCGGTGTGCTGCGCCTCCGGGCTGGGGCCACCCTGGACTACGAGAAGGCCCAAGCCCATTTTGTCACCGTGGTTGCCAAGGTAACAGGGCGGACTAGGGAGCATCTGGTTTTTCTTCAACCTTTGTCAGAGGAAGCTGCCCTTGGATTGGAAGAGTTGGGTCCTATGAGGGAGTGGGGGAGGTTTGGAGGGCTGAAGGTAGGATGGGGATGGGGTAGGAGTGCGGCTGCTCAAAGCCTCTGTTGAGTGGACTCTGCCCAGACAGGGACATAGTCTCCAGGGAGGCTGGAGTCTTTGGGTTGCAGAGGGCATATTCCCTCCTGGAAGAGGGTGTATGCCCCATCAGGACTGACGAGCCAGGGTCCCCTCTGGAGGACTGGGTGGCCATGGCCTGGACACCCATGTTCCCTCACATCTCCCATGACCTGGCCTCTAGGCACTTCCCTCTCTCTGTCTGGGCTTGCTCACCTCACCTGTTCCTCTTTGTGTGATCAGTGACCCTTCATGAGCCTTGGTTTCCTCATCTGCCCACCCATGAGGCTTAACTGAGTTTCTCATACTTCTAAAGTGCATGGTGTGGGACCTGCAAGTCGGCAGGTGCTCAGCCAAAGTGGCTGCTCTGTCCCCTGAGGGCAGGAAACCCTAGCTGTCCCTCTAGACCCAGCATTTTCTTTTCCAGGAAAGGAAAGGCCCCTGCTGGTCACATATTGGCCACAGGCCATCCCACTGCAGCCTGCACCACCTGCCCAATACTCCACCAAGGGCTTGGCTCGCTGGGCACACACCTTCATCATATAGACTCAGGCACAGCCCCAAATCGTGTCTTAGTAGATCCTTAGGTGTTGGAGGCTTGGTTCCTGGTGGGAGGGGGAATTTGGCTCTGACCCCCCTCCTCTTCTGCCATTTGTCGGACATGATTTCCCTGGAGAAAGAACTCTCTTTTCCAAAGGAACACTTTTGAGTGCCTAGTGCATACCAGGCACTGACTAAAGACCTCCATGCATCATCTGATTTAAATGACCCTTATGAGGGGGAATTATCTCCAGGTGATACAGGAGCAAACAGAAATCCAACCTCTCTTCACTCTCTGCTTCTTCCCCAGGATGGTGGAGGGAGGCTTCGAGGGGCTGATGTGGTGTTCTCAGCCACCACCACGGTCACAGTCAATGTGGAGGACGTGCAGGACATGGCCCCTGTCTTCGTGGGCACACCCTACTACGGCTATGTGTATGAGGACACCCTTCCGGTGGGTGGCTGTCCCCTCATCCCAGTGTCCCCTCCAGATGCCACTACCCCTGGATCCCCTGTGGCTTGGCCCTGGGTCACCCTCTTCACATGGATGGCTCTGGACTGACTCAAGCTCAGGCCATGAACATGTCCTTTTGCCTGTGGGAGTGTAGGGGGGGAAGAAGCAGGGGCAGTGTGTAGAGCACCTGCCAGGAGCCAAGACTGACACGCCATTTCTTCACTCATTCAAACTTACTCAAACCCAGCTGCAAAGGTTCAGCCCCTCAAAAAGGCTGAGAAGAGAGGCTGACAGGTGGCCCATGGCTGTTTTTTGGGTGGAGCCCTTTCTACACCTTGTGGGGGCAGTGGGGGTGGTGAGATTCCTTTGTGCCTCCCCAACTCAAAGCCCATAGTTTTGGGTCCCTCAGACCAGTAGTTCTCCCACAGTTTGATGCCGAGTTCCCACAACCCTTGTCAAATGTCATCCACAGGTATGGCTTGTCCCGCAAGCCAGGCTCCAAGGCCGGCCTCAGCTTCCTCCCCCTCAGTGCAGTCTTTGTCCCTGGTGTTTGGGCTACTATGCTTGTCTTTGGGTCTCTTAGGAATGGCACTCCCCCTGGGCCTGGCACCTGATTCCCGGCATCCCCTCCATCCCTGAGCCCTCACCAGCCCCCCAGCACCCAGCCCATCTCCCCACTGTGCCCTTAGCCCTCTGCCTGAAATGTGCCTGCAGACCTAATACACCCCACCTTTCTCAGGTCAGCCCAGGCGCTGCTTTCCCTGACATCTTTGGTCGAGATGGGAGCTCCCCTTCTCTGGGGATGCACACCCCTCCTTGGGGTACCTGCATGTATTTACATGCCCCCTCGGCTCAGCCAGACCATGAGCTACCTGTAGGCGGAGACCAGGTTGGGGCCAAACCCCATACAACCGCAGCTCAAGGACTCTGGAACTGAATTGCAGTCTGAATTTTTCTTCCCCAGGCTCTGAGTATTCTAGGATCTATGAGACAATGCACATGCTCACTGAGGACCCCTCACGTGCTGGGCCCAAGCTAAGATACCGCTGCTCCCGAAGCTGGCAGCCGAGTAGTAGAGATGAGCACAGAGTGGAGGGAGAAATGCCGGGCTCCTCTAGTGGGGCGCTGAAGACAGGCCAGGGGGAGGCCAGCTGTCCTGCTGGAATCTAAGGGCGGACAGCATTGCTCAGGGAGAGCAGGCGGCATGTGGCAGTCAGGAAGCAGCCATGAGTGTGGACAGGCCGAGGAGAAGTGCCTGAGGAGGAGGCTTAGAAGGGGGCGGCTGGCTGAGATGGAACAGGCTTGCTGGCTGTGGCATCGCTGCCCAAATCTGTCAAATGGCACCCCAGCCAGGGCCACAGGAGAGCATCCTGGTTTCTTGGCTTTGCATTGGACCCCTCTGTGCCTGGCTCCTCTCTCACCTGTCTCTGACCTCTCCCCACCATGTACCTCTGCAGGCAAAAGGTGAAGGAGGCAGGGAGCGTGAGGCTCGAGGGTAGGACAGTAGAAGCCAGACTTGAATGTGGCATGTAGGAAAGAAAGGGTATGAGGAGGCCCACTCAGGAGGCCTGAGTGTCCCTGGGCAGCCGTGTGCTAACCTATGTGGAGGGGAGAAACAGGGCTTGGGCTGTCTCTCCCTCCAGCCTGGGGAGGTCAGTGGGTGCTATGATCTCTCTGCAGAGCAGGTGTGGGGCCACACAGAGGCCTGGCCCTTTTCTTGGGTGGCAGTGGGCAAGTATGTTGGGCAGTGGGCAAGTGGGTTATGGGGGCAAGTATCTGGGGAGGGGGGAGCCCTATCATCACCCAGCGACCTCAGGCAGCTGCTTCTGTTCCCTCAAGGGCTCAGAGGTACTGATGGTGGTTGCCATGGATGGAGATCGGGGCAAACCCAACCAAATTCTTTACAGCCTCTTGAATGGTGAGTCTGGGGAAGCTTTGGGGACAGGCCCATCACTGGGCTGTGGCTTCTACTTCCTGGGCGACTAGAGTGAGCTTTCCAGACCTCTCTGGTCCCTGTTTCCTCATCTATAGAACCAGAAGTACAAGATGCATGAGACGGGCTGGGTCCATCTAGGAGGTGATGAGTCTCCTTGGGCATGTGCTCCAGACCCTGCCTTATCACTCTGTCCAGCAACAAGGAGAAACATGGGGTTGGATTGGGGGACTGAGAGCAACACTGTGAGGCACCAACTCATGTCCCTTCACCCTAAGCACATGCTGATTAACAAGAGGGAGTGGCAACATTTCTTACACTTTTAAGTTACTGTGTTTTTTATTGTCATACTTTAAAACTTCTGGCCTAGAGCATATAGTTGAATTAAAAGAACTAAATGCAACGATGATATGGTATTTCCTACTACTAGCTCTGTATATGGATGAGCAGACTGAGGCTCAGAGAAGCTAAAGGACCATGCCACATTCCCACTGGACTTGAACCTAAGTCTTCTGGCTCCAAGTCTGTGCTCTTTGCACAACTGGGCAGCAACAGAGCAGGTCAAGCCGGCCCAGGTGGGCTCTATAGCCCCTGGTAGCTGGTCCCTGCAGCACCAGGCCCCTTGGTGGGATCATCATGCCTGGTGCCTGATTGCAGACATGCATATGTCTCTCTGTTCTCACTCAGACACGATTGCCTTCCCAACCCTTTCCCTTAGGATATGCCTGGTGCACACACTCCTTCCAGCATGCCTGAACATGCCACCGTCACACACAGGCTCCTTTCCCCAGGCACGTGGACCCTTGACTGCCTCTCGTCCCCTCCCCTCCACTTCTGCAGCCTTTACACAATTACCAAGCACCCCACCCCCACCCCCATCTCTTCTCTCCGTCTTCTGCTCTACCTCCTGTAGCCTCTGGCCTCTTTCTTCCATCCCTCCCTTTCTCTCCTCTTTCTCCCCTTCCTTATTTCCCTTACTCTGTATCCGTTTCTCCCTTTCTCTTTCTATCACATACACACACGTGCATACACACAGCACAGAAGAGAAGGAAAGTTCTATGGAACCTGAAACCAGACTCAGAAGTGAGTTTAAGTCCCAGCTCTACACTCGCTGTGTAATCTTAGACAAGTTACTTAGCCCTTCTGAGATTCAGTTTCCTCATTGGCAAAATACAGATGATAGAATTACGTCCTATAGAGACTTCAGTGAGGTAATGCCCGAGGATCACAGGGCCGGCTGCCTGGCATGGCTCCCCTGCGCCTTCCCTGGCCATGTGTGGAACTGCAGGACACATCTTTCCTCCTTGACAGGGAGTGACGGAGCCTTTGAAATTAATGAGACGTCTGGAGTCATCTCCGTCATGCAGAGTCCTGCCCAGCTCAGGAGGGAGGTGTATGAGCTGCATGTACAGGTACCCTCCCTCTAGCTTGGCCTTTCCTCCTGCCCTCCGGCCGTGGTGATGCGAACCAGTATCCCCACCACCAGCCCACCCTCCACCCAGGGAGGGAGCTAGATGTTGCTCCAAAGAGCACCCACGTCACATAGCCTGCGTGAAGGCTGCAGCAGACACACACAAAGTCTCTGGAAAGGGGAGACATGAATTCACAAGGAAGTAGGACTGAAGCAGCAATGCCTTGAGTATGGGTAAGACCCAGCAGGTGGACACTGGTGGAGGGCATCGCTGGTGGGAATGGGGGTGGAGTGCAGGCACTGTGGACTAGGAAGCCCCATGAGATGAGGCTGGAGGTGATGTGCACATGATGTACTGGGGAAGCAGCAAGGAGTCATGGGACGGCAGCAAAGTGTTTAGACCACATGTAGACAGAGAAAAAGGTTGGATCCCAGGCTGGAACTGGAGGAGCAAAGGCCCCAGATACGAAATATAGGTTTCTCCCCAGAACAGAGCCAGCTTTGTGGGCATGTGGCCTGTGCAGTTACACAGGGACCACTGTTAGAAGAGTCCCATGCTGGGTGTAAGGCTCTGCTCTTGCTGTCTTGAAATTCTTAATAATTTTTTAACAAGGGGCCCCATATTTTCATTTTTCACTGCACATTATGTAGCTGGTCCTGCCCAAGAACAGTAAAGAGCCATTGAAGGTATTTGAGCAGTATCAGAGAAAAGCTCACTCTGGCTTCTTTAGACCAGGATGATTCTCAGATTTAGAGAGTCTGGCAAACAAAGATTTCCAGGACCTAGTCCTGGCAACGGGAAAGTGGTGTGTCCTTGAGAAATGCAAGACTCTGCATGTTGTGAGCCCCCAGGTGATTCTGGTCCAGTCCCAGGAGAGGGTTTGAGAACACTGGTCCCAACTTGAGTTTGGAGGGAACTGGGTGAGAGGCAGGGAGGCAGAGCCATTCGTCAAGGTGATAAATGGGGGGGACCTGTGCAGATGAGGGGAGGTGGAGTGGCATAAGGAGACAAAGTGCAACATATGGAGGAGGCAGACTCCACAGAATGTGACTGTAAGGAAAAGGAGCGACTGTAGTGACTGTCGGGAAAGGAGAAGGATGAGGGATCTGGGTGGTACCGTGCTATCAGGGGTGCAGGAAAGGAGGCAAGTTGGGTAGGACAGACATGGGGCATTCTGCTGTCTCTGGGATGCTCAGATTGAAACACACAAACTTGTGTATACAGGTGTGGAACCTGGGGAGACAGTGTCTGCATACAGGTGGCTGTGGAAGAATGGGTTTGGGGAATGGAATCACCTAGAGGATGGCTGTGGGGACAGAGGAATCACTGGCCAAGAACATAGCTCTGGGAGCATCAGAGGCTGAGTGAGGCAGGAGAAGGTGAAAGAAACCTAGGAGAGATCAGAGAGGTGGAGGGGAGCCTGCAGAAAGCAGAGTCCCATTAGCAGAGGGCTAGAACCCTCAGGAAGGCAAAAGAAAGTGGCAGTGCTACACGCAGCATGGAAATTAGTGTGAAGTGTCTCAGTTGGGGATGGGCTGAGAGCTGAGTGGGAATTAGGAAATGGAGACAGCAGGTGTAGGCTTCTGAGAAGGGAGTCATGGTTGCAGCTGGGGTGTGATGAGTGGTGTCCGGGGAGCATAGTGAGACCAGAGCATGCTTCTAGAACAAGGGAAGGGAGGTTCTTGATTGTCTCTGTCACATGGAGTGGTTCACACAGAGCCTGTGGATTCTCAGCCCTGGCTTTGCAGCCTGTATTAGTTATCTGTTGCTACATCTCCAAACCTCCCCTCTCTGCAGCCTCCACCCCTGGCCAAATGGACACCAGGACAGAATGTGGCAGAACTGGGGTTTGAACCCAGATCTGTCTGGCTATAAAGAAGGGCCACTATGGTGAGATGGAGAGACTGCTGATTAAGAAATCAGACACACCTGAGTTCTTCCTAGTCCAGTTCTGCCACTCACTAGTGTGTGGCCCCAGGTGACTGCTTCACCCCTCTGTGCCTCATCTGCGAAATAGGATTAGTAACAGCACTATATTGTTGCCTATGGCTGTTGTAACATTACCACAAGCTTAGTGTCTTAAAACAACACACATTCATATCTCACAATTGCTGTGGGTCAGGATTCCAGGCTCGGCGTAGTTGGGTCCTCAGATTCAAGGTCTCTTGTTGTAGCTGCCATCAAACTGTCAGCTGGGACTGGATTCTCATCTGAAGGCTTGACTGGGGTAGGATTGTCTTCCAGGCTTACATGGTTATTGGCAGGATGGAGTTCCTAGTGGGCTGTTGGCTAGAGGTGACGATTAGCTCCTTGAAACATGAGCCTCTACAATATAGCTGCTTGTTTAATCAGAGCCAGCAAGGGAGAGAGTCTGCTAGAAAACAGAAGTTACAGTCTTTGTGGTCTAATCACCAAGTATATCTCATCACCTTTGCCATGTGATATCAGAAGCAAGTTGCTAGGGCAGGCCATACTTAATGAGAGGGAATTACACAAAGGCATGAATACCTCAAGCTGCGAATCCATGAGGCCATTTGGAGTTGCCTGCCACACAGCAATAGCCACCTGTCCCTATCCCAGGTGACTGAGGTCAGCTCTGCAGGGATCCCAGCTGCCCAGGCCATGGTCCCAGTCACCATCAGGATCGTGGACCTCAACAACCATCCGCCTACGTTCTATGGAGAGAGTGGACCCCAGAACAGATTTGAGCTGTCTATGTATGAACACCCACCTCAGGGAGAGATCCTGCGGGGCCTTAAGATCACTGTCAACGACTCAGACCAGGTGTGTGGTCCTGCCCTCCACCCTGTCTTCCAAGAAGCCAAAGCTGAGAGAGTGCACCAGTCTTCACCGCTTATGTCCCAGGGGCCTTGCAGGTGTTAAAATGAATGAAATGATGGTGTAACTAAGAGAGAGACGTGGGAGAGTAGCTAACCAAAGACCTTTAGGTTAGCCTAAAGACATTTACAATCAATTAAAAAGTAAAACCAGTCAAATAAAAGCCCCTCTATATCTGATCTTGTAGAAAGGCATTTGTGAATGCATCCTGTCACCTCCTATGCCCAGCAGAGGGCCACGCTGTCAGTGTTTGGGACCTTGCTTAGTTATCATAGTCTGCTAAATCCTTCTGATCCTTAATTGCCTGACCTATAGAAAGAAATAATAATACCTTCCAGGGCTAAGGGCAAATGAAGGTTTCTTGCTTAGCATGACTATCTAATGAGTTTCTATTCTCATTCATCTTCCCTGTTTCCTCTCTCCAAACACTATTGCCCAGGGAGCCAATGCCAAATTCAACCTGCGGCTGGTGGGACCTGGGGGCATCTTCCGAGTGGTCCCACTGACAGTCCTGAATGAAGCCCAAGTCACTATCATTGTGGAGAACTCAGCTGCCATTGACTATGAAAAGTTCAAAGTGCTAACCTTCAAGGTAGGTGATACTTTGTACTGTCCTGAATGGGGGTAGGGGGTGGTCCTAGGAGCTCATAGCAGCTCCCGGATTCATTCCTGAGGGGTCCTTGTCACCCTCTGCCCTTCCTGGCCCTCCAGTTTCCCTCAGCCCCTCTGCCCTTCTTGCTGACTGGGGGAGCAGGAGTGTGGGGGAAGAAGAAGGTGCAAGAGACCTCTCCACTGCTCACACAGACTCACCGTGTTCCTGGTTCTAAATTACAACTGTCCCCAGGAATGCAAAGGTGTTCAATGTGCCCTGTTCATAGATTGAGAGAGAAAAACTATTTGATTATCAAGATAAACATATTCCTCATATGCATTTAACATCTGTCACCAACTCTGATAAAAATTTTAGCAGAAGATGAAAAAAAGACTCCTTTGTATCTGTGATTATTTAAAATTATACACATATATAACTAATGCATATTATATATAACTATATAAATAATATATATTAATAAAAATGAAAAACAGATACCTCTTTGATATCTAAACTGTTATAATTATTTATAATTATACACACATAACTCTATAGCCAACATCATGCTTTGTGTTCTAAAACCAGTGTGTGAAGTCAGAAACAAAACATGGATGCCTGCTATCACCACCATTATTTAGTACTATTCCTGGAGTAACATTATTCCTGAATAAAGAAAGGAAATAAAAGGTATGAGTATTAGAAAGGAAGGGACAAAATTATCATATTTGTAGGTAGTGTTATTGTTTGCTTAAACAAATCTAAGAAATGTTTGAAAAACAGAAACACATCAAGGCTGCTAATGTGATTGATTACAAACTTAATACACAAAATTGAAGAGTGTTCCTACATATGAATAATAGCAAAGAGAATAATGGAATAAAAGTTTCTCCTTTATAATAACAACTAAAAGATAAAATTCCTAGGAATTAGGCAAACAGGAAATACACAGCACCTAAATGATAATGAACACAAGAATTAAACAAAGGGATATAAAGAAGGCAAGATATATAAAGGTGCACCCTGTTTAAAAAATGCAAATTCTCATCAAGTGAATAAAGAATCCAATGTCGTTCCAACTAAGTCTTACCTGGAATTTCCTTTCAGGTGGCGAGAAGGTTTGATATAATTACATGGGTTTTTATCTGGAGGAATAAATTTCTAAGAATAGTCAGGAAAACAGAAGGAAAGAATATGAGGCAGGAACTTCCCTAACAAATATTAAATTATATTATAAAACAAAGTAATTTTTGCACTTGAAACTAAAAAGGAATATGCAAATCAATGGGACAAAAGAAATTGGCCCAAATACAACTATAAGAACTTCAAGAAAGCAGGCTTTCAAGACAGTGGTCCTTAGAGGCGCCCCTACAGGTGATGTCAGGCATCGCAGGCTGGCGGCTGAGAGTAAGGCAGGGCCAGGCAGGTGGGTGCAGGACCAGTGCTGAGACAGGAAAGGGGAAGGCTTTCTGCCCACTGACTGCCACCCAGACAGGTCCTTGTTTTCCTTCCTTTCCCAGCTCCTGGCCATTGAAGTGAACACTCCGGAGAAATTCAGCTCTACAGCAGATGTTGTGATCCAGCTCCTGGACACCAACGACAATGTCCCCAAGTTTACCTCCCACTACTACATTGCCAGGATCCCTGAGAATGCCCCAGGGGGCTCCAACGTGGTGGCTGTCACAGTGGGTTGGGGACTGGCCCAGGGATTGGGTCTGGGGTGGGGAGTCCCTACTGAAGGGGGCCTGATGAAATCAGACAAACCGGGGTTCCAGTTTGAATGGCAAAGCCCAAATTCATTAACTGTGTCCTTGGACAAGCTCCCTGAACTCTCTGAGGCTCAGTTTCCACTCCTGTACAATGGGGACAACAATACCCAGGATTATAAGGAGGACATAGGCATAAACCCTCAGCTCAGGGCACAGGATTCATCTCCTTCTCTATCCTCATTTACAAAGAAGGGATACATGTCTTCCAGATCTAAACCTTTTGTTTCCTTCAATAGTTGGTTTCCTGGGAAGATAACTAGGGCTCCAGAGAAGACCTCCAGATCAGTTTCTCCCCAGTTGGATAAACCCCAGTTCCCTTGTGTTGCCATTGAAAGCAACCCTCAGGTATATTAGCTGCCAATACGCCCTGACAAAGAGCAGGTGCCACTTGGAGCTCTCTCTCTTCCAGGCTGTAGATCCAGACACAGGTCCGTGGGGTGAAGTCAAATACTCCATCTATGGGTCTGGGGCAGACCCGTAAGTACATCCAGAATGCTGAACAGGGCCTCGGGCAAGGGATTTGGGAGGCAGGGGGGCAGAGGGGATCTGTGCGGAAGGCAGGAAAGGACAGGACCTGAGTTGGAGAAATGAGCAGGAGGGCCATGGGTGAAGGGAAGCAGTGGAGAGCCTGGGGCAGAAGTTCTGGGATCTAAGAGAAAAAGGGTCATCATGATGGCCTGGAGCTAGGGAGGGCAGGCCCTGGGAGGAGAGGGAAGGGTTAAGTTCAGGGTTAATAGGTGGATGAGTAGATGGGTGGGTCAGCACCCTCAGTCAGACGGCAAGGTGGAGGAGAGGAGCAGGTGGGCCACCTTGGAGAAGCTGCATAGTGCATCGAAGGCAGCTCATTCCTGCAGTCCACTCTGTGTGTGTGTGTGTGTGTGTGTGTGTGTGTGTGTGTGTGTGCGCTTATGCACACTCACGCCGAACTCCCTATGCCTGGCAGCTTCCTGATCCACCCATCCACCGGGATCATCTACACCCAGCCCTGGGCCAGCCTGGATGCTGAGGCCACTGCCAGGTACAACTTTTATGTGAAGGCAGAGGACATGGAGGGCAAATACAGTCTGGCCGAGGTGTTCGTCACTCTGCTGGATGTCAATGACCACTACCCTCAGTTTGGAAAGAGTTTCCAGGAGAAGACCATGGTGCTGGGGACCCCAGTGAAAATTGAGGTGAGCTTTGAAGGCAACTAAGCTTCCCTAAAAGCCTTGTTTTAGCTGTTGCAAGAGACACTGTGGTGTAAGAATTTATTTTAATTTATTTAATTTAAATAAACTTCAGGGGCACCTGGGTAGCTCAGTTGGTTAAGTGTCCAACTTTGGCTCATGTCATGATCTCATGGTTCATGAGTTCAAGCTCTGCATTGGGCTCTGCACTGACAGCTGAGAGTCTGGAACCTGCTTCGGATTCTGTGTCTCCCTCTGTCTCTGCCCCTCCCTTGCTCTCTCTCTCTCTCTCTCTCTCTCTCTCTCTCTCACTGTCTCAAGAGTAAAGTTTAAAAAGTAAAATAAACTTTATTGGCTTCCCCCTGTGAGCAGGGGATATTAAGGTACCTTATATATCCCCATCCCCACCTCAATCCAGAAATAACCTCTAAGAAAAAAGATATTATTGCCACTTTACAAAAGAATTGAGGCTCAGGCAGGTTTTTTTTTAAGTTTATTTATTTATTTTGAAAGAGAGAGAGCATGTGAGCATGATCAGGGGAGAGGCAGAGAGAGAGAGAGAGAGAGAGAGAGAGAGAGAGAGAGAGAGAATCCCAAACAGGCTCCATACTGTCAGCTCAGAGCCAGACACGGGGCTTGCATTCATATACAGTAAGATCATGACCTGAGCCAAAATCCAGAGTCAGGCACTTAACTAACTGAGCCACCCAGGTGCCCCAAGGCTCAGGCAGCTTAACTGTTTGGCTTGCCTTTGTTCACACAGCTGGTCAGCCTGCTTTCAAAGCAGTGCTATGCTGTACTGTCTTCCCAGTATGGAAAAAACTTGAACTCTAAAACCCAACATACTACTTGACTTTGAGCTTCCCCTCCTTTGATGTATCCATCCTTAGACAGGTCACCTATCATTCAAGCTTTTGTTTTTTAACAATACCTACTGCCCAGGCTTGATCTGAGAGTGGAATGTACTAATGCATGTAGAGGGCCCGGCACAGACCCTGGGTCATTCAGTACTTCCCCCAACTCCAGTCCACTCACAGTAGGGTTAGGACCATTTCCCGTCAACCCAGCAAGCCAAATAAGACACACTGGGTTAACCATGGCGCACAAGTATCATTCTCGAGTCCCAACTCTGTCTGTCCCTCCTCACATGCAGGCCACGGACCAGGATGCAGACGAGCCCAACAACCTGGTGGACTATTCCATCACCCACGCGGAGCCAACCAACGTGTTCGACATTGACACGCACACAGGGGAGATCCGTCTCAAGAACTCCATCCGCTCCCTTGATGCCCTGCACAACATTACACCTGGTGGGGACTTCACGTGGTCCCTAGAGGTGCAGGCCAAGGACCGTGGCTCCCCATCCTTCAGCACCACGGCCTTACTCAAGATTGACATCACAGACACAGAGGTGAGTACCAAGTCTGGGTCAGAAGAGGGTCAGAAGACCAGCTCAGGCCTTGCTGAAACACGGTTAGAGGAAGAAGGGACCATCTGCAGCCTTCCTCCAAAAGGCACTCAACGCTAGCAAAGGCTGCCTGTGCCATCAGACACATAAGCTTTGGAATCAAGTTGAAAGCCTAGTTTCAACACTTATTAACAGTGTGACTTTGGGCTTTGCCAAGCCTCCACTTCCTTTCCTACAAAATGGGAAGAGTGATAGTTCCTTCACATAGGGGTTAAAAGGCATAAGTAAAATCATTATGTGTAGTTCTCAGCTCAGTATCTGGCAGAAAGTCATCATTAAGGGGTTCCTGATATATTTGGGCAGATGAAGCCCTCCATAACTAAAGGTAAGCCATACCCTAATCTCTCAAGTAGAGAGTCCAGCTAATGTAGGAGTTTTAAATCTGAAAGAGGTTGTTTGCGTCATGCTCTCTCTCTGTGCATTTTTCTGGAGAGCTGTATGCATCACATTTTCTCTGGGTGCATTTTTTCTGGAATGAAACCCCTGGTGTTCATCAGATTCTCAAGGGATGCTTGACCCCAGAAAGTTTACACACCATCAGGCTTAAGGGAGCTCATGACCCTTGCTCTGTCCTCCAGGGACCAGGAAGGAACAGCAGAATGCAGTTAGGGGGGCTTCTCTCTTCCAGATGCTGTCTCGGAGCCCCATGGCCGCCTTCCTGATGCAGACCAAAGACAACCCCATGAAGGCTGTGGGTGTCCTGGCTGGCATCATGGCCATCATTGTGGCCATAACCGTTCTCATCTCCACTGCCACCTTCTGGCGCAATAAGAAGTCTAACAAGGTCCTGCCAGTGCGGCGCGTGCTCCGTAAGCGGCCCAGCCCAGCACCCCGTGCCGTCCGCATCGAATGGCTCAAGTTCAGAAGGACCAAGGCTGCTGCCAAGTTTGTGCTCAAAGAGGATCCTCCCAATGAGAACTGCAACAACAACAGCCTAGGAAACACACTGCCCCCCAAAGCCCCAGCTCCCCCTCCACCACCCACAATGGTGCCCAACATGAGCACAGCCCACTGGACTGTGCCTACAGTCTCTGGCTCACTCACCCCTCAGCAACCCCAACAGTCACCAAAACCCAAGGTGGGAAGCCCCATCCAATCAGCTCTGGTCTCTGAGCTCAGGCAAAAGTTTGAGAAGAAGAGTGTGGGTAATAAGGCTTACTTCTAGCATGTGTCTTGTGGGCCCTAATTTCCCAACCCCAACTATCCCACTACTTGGGCCATGCTCCCCACTATCTGCTCCCTAGGGTCACCTGTGTTTTGTACAATGATGTAAGCCCCATATCCACGGCTCTGGACATGCTTTGGACAAGGGATTTCTCTGTTTATGGGATGCAACTGGCAAATACTTCCTCATCACCCAGATTGTTGGCACAGCTGTGATGCTCCCCATTCCACAGAGACTGGGAATAGACAAAGAGCCAACTCTTAGGTGTCTACTACTCACCAACCTCAGACCTCACAGTCCCTCAGGTCCTCCTGGGGCATTAGCATCCTCAGTTGAGGAAGAGGGCCCTGGCCACATGTGACAAGGCCAACCAGAATCTGGATCCTGAAGCCTCCAGCTAAGAACAGGAGCAGGAAAAGGAGGTTCAGTTCTGGCTAAGGTTGTTGATCAGTTGACCCTTGCAGGCTGTAGGAGAGCAAATGCATCAGGGCAGGGTGGTGATGCACTGAAAACTGATGCTGACTGTGGGGCTATTCCTCAAAGTCATTGGAAAGATGTAGGATGGTGTCTGAGTAAAGACCGTGGGCCCCTGCTATGCATGTGTGGGACCAGAGACACAAAGGTATGGGATGGCCCCAGCCAGAGCTGTCCCAGGCAGGCCCAGAAATGTCCAAGCTAGCACCACGGTGGTAGTCCTAGAGGCATCTGGAAGAGCCTCAAGACCCCTCCCCAGGGTGCTGCCCCTGCCCCCCACCACCCAGGAGCCCTTGAAAAGACAGTGCAGAGCTGAGATCTGGAGAGACTTTTGTTTTTATCCAGCTCTTTTGCTCATGTGGTATAACCTTGGGAAAAGCTGTTTAAATTCCCTGATCACTTCCTTTCCTCATTTGTAAAATGAAGAAATTAAGTCCTGGCTGACTCACTCACAGGTCCAAGGTGAGGACTGAAATAAATATGTGGTGACAAGGGCTTTAACCAAGTGCAAAGCAGCACAAATGCAGAGTATTTTTCTGCAGGCCAGTTCTCTGGGCTGCAGCTCCTCCAGAAAGTATTAGGAGCCCTTCACGCCATTCTGCCAAGCACCCCCAGGAGGTCCTGTGCAGGGTTTGAGTACAGCCCCTGACCTGTGGCAGCCAGACCTGGATGATGTCATTGCCCTTGACTCAGGCTCCTCCCGTCCAGTTATGCCCCACCACACCCCATGCAGCCCTGGCCAGCCAGTCAGAAAGGACCAAAGCCGGGCGGTACATCCATTTTGCCAAAATGACAAAAATGAGCTTCCACGACAGGAGCAGTGCTGGAGGCCACACAGCTGGTTGGTAGCAGAGACCTGGTCTGAGGGCTCCTGACTCCTTGACATTTTCCTTTGGCCGGGCACACCTTGTCAACTTGTGACAACCTCCCCCAGGAGAGAAGACATGCAAGCCTCTATGTTTAATGCAGAGAAGTTCCGCCCAACTTTAAGGAAAGCTGCTCTATGAGGAATCTAGACGTGTGCAGGGAGAGGGAAGTAGAGCGATTCTTTGCATCTTGCTCCCCTCACTAACAACCGCTCTAGAGTATCGTCAGTGATTTTATTTAAACAGACTATATGCACATGTGGTTTTCCTGATTTCTGAGTCTGTGTTTTGAGGTGTTACTCAGTTACGCTGGTGTGTAAGCTCCTTGCTGGGCTTTCTGCAGTCCCCAACCCAGAGTGTATTAAGAGGTGATTTCTAACAAGCTGGGAGCCCAGACTGAACCAATAGGCATTTTGCAGCCTGTATTTCAGGAGAGGGCTGTGCTGGCTTATGTTTTCTCTCCACAGGGAATACACCATCTTTACATTTTGCATGCAATCAACCTCTTTTGTAAATGGTGAATAAAGTCTGTTAAGCAAGGGCCCAGCTGACCTCCTGTTCCCTGCTTACATAGACATTAGCTGACTCATAGAGACCAGTCTCCCTGGCAGCCAAGCTCGGCCTGCCTCCTGGCTCCTTCAGTGGGTGAATCCATCCAGCCTCTAACCCTCAGATCTGACTCTCTGGGGGGGCTGCAAAAGTTTGTCCAAATGGCCATGCATATACCTCTAGTGGTAATACATTTACAGGGTTTGTCTATCTAATCATGCCCCATCGTGGGCCTGGAATGGGCTTTTGTCCTGAGCAGCAAAAGCTCCAGCAAGGCTGCATGGAAAGGAATGGGCTCTGGAGCTAGAACTAATTTATCCCTCATTCCAGCCCAGAGAAGGCAGGGATTGGGCCTGGTGTGGACGTGAAGGCCTGGGAAGAAGTGTAGTCTCTGGGACAGCAGTCAGGAAAGCCTCTGGGCTAGAAAGTCAGGCCAGCATTCAGGCTCTGGGAGGCCATGGGCTCCTGGACAAATCCAAAGCTTGAACCAAGGTAGAGACAGTCTTGGAAACTGCACCTGTGGGCAACCTCCTGCACTGGGAAGTATGGGGAAAGTACCTAGTTGCTGGCAAGAGCCATACTGAGAATGAATAGGAAGGTGTGGCTAAACCTAAGGTTCCAGCAAATGTGGAGATACTGGAAGTGACCCCCAGCCAGTGAGAGTGAGCTGGGCCAAGTTCTACTGCATTAGGGAGTGATGGGGGCCGAGGGATTGCCTGTCCAGCCACAGGGGACAGACCTGGACTACAAGCCGGCACAATTTTAAGCCTCCAGCTAATGAACTGGGAGGCAAGGGGTGACAGATTAAGCAGGCCTTCCCACTTCTGGGTCCTAAAAAACTGAGTGGACGTTCAGCAGATGTGTCTCCAAGGAATCTTCAGAACAGCGTGTGTTTTTCCTATGGTTGAGGTCAGACTTTTTAATTGTATGAAATAACATGGCGCTTTACAATCTGACAGCCCTGAGTCTGAATCCTGGCTCTGCCGCTTAAGTGTGACTTTGGGCAAGAGACCAAGCCTCCCTGGGCCTCACTTCCCTCATCAATACATGGTGTGAAAAGTGATTGCTATGAAGTTGACAAGGCCTAATCTATGTAAAGCACCTCGCACCAGCTTTGTATGCGCTGATACGAGCTCAGAAGATAGACTCTGTCCTAGAGGTACTAGAGGACGTTGGAGGATGTCCACATGCTAGAACACCATATCCTGGAGGCGAGGACTCCTGCGCATGCTTACCCCCAGGTTGCTTCTGCCCACTGCTAGGCGTGGGAGCCTTTCCTCCACACTAGGAGAGGAGAGGAGAGTGGACTGGGAGAGAAGTGGAGGATGGCAGGGCAGACGCAATAGCTCTGTGACCTGTGCAGCTGAGCATCTGCGTTCTGAAGGAGTTAGGAACTGATAAGACTGTCCCTAAGAGAACCCGGGGGACTCTGTACTGAGCAGCTGTCCCTCAGAACCCAGCTGGTAAAATGTGGCAAGAGCTGGGGCACAGCCAGAGTCTCCTGCTTCTATAAGGATTTCTGCAATTCTGCTACTCTGAAGCCTGGAAGCTTTGAAAGAAGCCGGGGTCAGCCCACCTAGCACGGATGTTGGCATCTGTTGGCAATGGTAATGCTTCTCTGATAGTCTTCAAGGGCCCTGGCCATGGGAGGATGGATGGGGAGCATGGGGAAGATGCCATCGAGGAGTAAAGCTGCCAGGCTGCCATGTGGACACAGGGAGGGTCCCTTAGGAGAGTCACAGAAATAACTGGGTGGGGTGGGGGGTGGTGCTGTGAAGGGCCTAGTTTCCAGAATAAAGTGGTTATGACTTCACCAACCATACATTGATTAATAAAGTAAGCGACTTTATTTTGTAGCAACAGGCTGGTGATGTTGGGGTCATCTGTGTGACATTATGAAATTGTGCAAATGCATGTTTTTAGCTGAACGAGGTCCAGCCATTTATTTATTTATCAATAATTTACTCAATCATTCTTTTAATAACACATGTTCTGAGCATCCTGTCGGTGCCAGGCCGGGTATTAGGTGTACAGGCTCCAACATACCAGAAGAAAGGAAGAAAAAAGAAAAAGGACAAAATCCCTTCCTCAGATTGACAATAGCAGATGCCTGGGGCCAGCAAAGGCTTCATTCTAAAAGTAAGTCACCCTGCTTACAAATGACTTCTGATCCAAAGGCACTCACCTTAAAATTACTTGGCCTAAGCTCGAAATAGATAATATTCCCAAGAGCATAACAAATGAATCTGAAACGATAGCATCTTTTAAACATTAAACAGAAAAGAACACTAGTTAACATTAATTGAACAGAATGTGAAGGGTATTAGCATAGATATCGTATTATTACATATATATTTATACATACACACACACACATAATCCTAGTAAGATCTGATGTTCCAAATGGCCCAGTCTGTATATTGAGTCACGTTGAAAGAGAACACAGACGGACATGGATGCTTTCAATGGTGTTAATGTTTATTGTGATGACATTTATTGTGTGCCAGACATTGTTCTGAGAGCTTTCCATGTGAAAAGTCATTAATCATTGGGAAATACTACCCCTATGAGGTAGGTAGTATTATTATTCCCATTTTACAAATGAGGACAGTAACGCACAGAAAAAGAGAGTAACTTGCGTAACATCACAAAGCCGGTAAGAATTTAAGCCCAGGAAACTGAGTTCCATGGTCTGTGCCTTAACGTGTCCCCCTTCCACTGTCACATCGCCTGATCGATCTGAATAATATGCATCTTTACCCTAGGAATTTTTAAAAGGTCTCGCTAAGGGTGTTAAACTAATCAGATTCCCAGAAATCCTCTCTAGACCTTGTTCCCTCTGCCTAAATTTCCATGTTCATAGGAGTGGCTGAATGAACACTGGCCCTGCTCACTGAGGTACTCCTGATTCTCACTGCTGTATTATACTTGTCCTCCATGGCCCCTTCCCCCTTCCTGTCCCTTCTGTCCCGTGCCTGCCATGAAGCTTTCTTTGCTAGGAGGGGAGGCCAGAACACCTACTGCTGCCTTCATGGTAGCCCCAGGCTCCTTCATAATTGCTGTACCCTCCAAGACCTGTGGACAGCCTCTGATGCTATTGGAAGAAAACAC